GCATTACTTCGCTTGCTGGCTCATAAAACGCGCCGTAAAACTGAAGAAATTAAAAGTTTGAAATGCGCGTATCTGAAACGAGTGCTCGAATGATGTAGCGCGCGGCTTAGCTCCGACTTGTGTTCGAAATTACGTCTAGAATGTGGAATTTTTATACGAACACACGGAGAAAAAGAAAAAAAAAAGAATAAGAAAATGAGACACGAAGCCCATGCGTTAATAGAACTTGGAAAAATTGTTGTTTTTTTTTTTTTTCAGATACGCAACCAAAATATGCGTTCAATAAATTACGACATTTAAAAATCAAGAAGCCATTTAATTCTTCGAATATTGCAATATTGTTTTACCGCCGTCGCGCATTTTTTTCATTATTGTTTATAGTTCTCTCTCATTTTTCTCTATACGCTCTATGTTCGCTCCCTATCGTCCGTCGCCTATTGCGAATCGTGAGGTATCGCATGTCATATATGACGACGTATGACGTACGGCGTATCATGTATCATCGAGGAGAACACAGTCCGTTACGAGATGCTCGACTGCTCTAGCGACACAGTCGACATTGCTAAATGCAATTTATAGGAAACTTTTATGGAATGGCGCCATAAAGAGAAGTGGGTCAGAGAGCTTCTTCCGACTGTAAAGATACGCGCGCTGTCTCCGCCTTGGTGTGCAATAGCGTTTTCTACGATATAAGAAGCACCCATGGAGAAGTGCCACGGGTATCTCTCCGCGTATTGGTGAACGGAAAACGATAAGAATATACACACGATCGTTGTCATCGATACGTCGAGAGTAATCGCCGAATTCGCAGCGAGTTTTCCTCAATTTCGCATTTCGTACTGATCACAAGAAAGCGTATTGTTAAACAAAGAATGTATTTATAATATATCGCTTTATTTATTTATACAAAGCGATATATAAATAGAACAAGAAGAAGAAGATGATGAAGAAGAAGAAGAAGGGTTGTGATAATTACGCGATTAAAAATAGATGCCAGTGGAGAATATCGAACGCGGAGCTTCGCGCAGAGAGGCGCTCTGCATAGACTTATGCAATTTCTTTACTTATTCGTGATATTATACATTTCCCGGAACTTCTATTTGCACGAACTTTCGTGTATTGAAAAGCATACTCTCTCGAATCCGGAAAGTTTGCAAACTACGTATCACGCCCAACGCTTTTCCATCTCGCTCTCTGTTCCGCCGCGGCGCTTATCCCACTACAACATACCTTCGGCTTCTTTCTCATCTTCTCTCTGTCTCAAGTTTCCTTTTATCCAATAGTACAATTTATTCCACTTCCCTCTCTCCCTCAGTCGCTTCTATATTCTAGGTCGATAATCAAAGAAATTTCTCTCGCAAATGAAATAACACCAAAGTATATACATTTACTTTTACTTTTTTACACACACTTTTTTTTACTTTTTACATAAAAAGAGAAGTGTAAAAATCGACGCCAATTCGCTTCATTTTAAGGCAGATAATTATTTTTATGGCGTACATTGTGACATCGATTCGCATACTTTACGTGTCATCAAATAAAAGGTTCTTCGTAGAGATTCAAAACGCTTAAACGATTCGGCTTAAAATAATATCCATCGAGATATAAAAAGCGTCTCCGGATACAACGATTTTTCAAGTAGCAGAGAGACATATTCGCATCAAAATCAATGACATGATAGTCAAAATACGAGCACATATCTTCGGGAAACTGATCGAGTTGCGGCACGAAACCGTCAGGTGGTAAGCAGGACCCGCAACCTGCCCTTTTTTTTCTTCCTCATCTCCCTGTCTGCGTCCTTCTCGCTTCAGTTCGCTGAAGTTCTTTCGGGCTTCATTACTTTCTTTTTTCACACTTTTTTCCCTTCCTTCTCCCGACATATTCGAACTCATATACGGTGCCGTCGTGTCAACCGCGCTCGTCAAAAAACCTTCTCTCTTTTCTTTTTTATTCCAATATAACTTTTAGCCCTGGATTATTCGTATCTCGTTTTTTTCTCGCGAAAAGAAGAAAATCGCTTATCGAGGATTATTCTGCGAGTTGGTATCTTACTTTGACTGTCCCGCGTCTTCAGCGATATTTGTTTGCATCTCGTTTATTGATTCTTGTTATCTTTTACAGTGTATTGCATCTCCCCGAAGATTTATGTTGCATGTGTAAATACATAGACCCAAAAACCGTGCGCATTATGCACATATATTTTATACCTGGCGTCTTTTTTCGCGCTGACAAAATATATTCTCATTTTGTTTTTATTTTATTTTCCGAGGAAATGTACGATTTTTATCCGATATATATATACAGGGTGTCCCAGAATTGCCGTACAATCTCTCGTAGGCAGGTAGAAGGAGTAAAACTGAGTCGAAAAGTCCTGAACCATTTTTTTCTATTATTTATAATAAAGGAGTAATTATTGAGTAAATTAGGCCAATCAGCGCAGACCTTTAGCCATACGCACGTCACTGAGCGCTCACACACACGAGGTGCGCGGCTCACTGACGTGCGTCTGGCTAAAGGTCTGCGCTGATTGGCCTGATTTACTCAATAATTACTCCTTTATTATAAATAATAAAAAAAAATGGTTCAGGACTTTTCGACTCAGTTTTACTCCTTCTACCTGCCTACGAGAGAT